TGAATCTCGTAGTTGCGCTGGACATCATTCAAGCTTTTGGAATAGAACGCTACAGGGTGCCACTTCCCGTCCGGGGCGGATTGTTGTGAAAGAACCGCCCCCGTCGCATAATCTGAGCTGTCTGCTTCAAGTCGGAAAGGCCGAGAGTCGTCCGGGATCGCTAAGACGGGATAGCGCTTCCTTGATGTCGCGGACAAGTTCGGACCCAGGCCCAGAGACAGTGACGGCCTCAAGCGCACGAACCAGGTACTCGATCGATGATTTCTCGAAGTCGCACTACTCCTTGCGAAGGTACAGCTTGTGCATTTGGAGTCACCGAAGGACTTCGCGGATGATCTCGCAGTGCTTACGGAGGTCCGAATGTGCGATAAGGATATCGTCAAGGTAGATCATAACATCTCCTGAAAGAATGAGATCCTGGAAAATGTCATTCATCATCGTTTGGAAAGTCGCGGGGAAGTTTGTCCGGCCAAAATACATCACCAAAGGTTCGAACAACCCTCGGTTAGTCCGAAAGGCCGCCTTCCACTCATCTCCTTCTTTAATCCGGACGTTATTGAAGCCCCAGCGAACATCGAGTTTAGTGAAATAACGGGCACCCTTGAGCCTGTTGATAAGGTCATTAATCAACGGGAGGGGGTACCGGTTCTTAATTGTCATTGCGTTGAGGGCGCGGTAGTCCTAGACAAACCGAAGTCCTCCGTCCTTTTTCTTAACGAAGAAGACGGGGGAAGCCATCGGAGATTTCGAAGGGCGGATACGGCTGGTGGCAAGTCCTTCCTCGATGAACTTGTCAAGTTCGCGCTGTTCAAGGGGGGAGATCGGATACACCTTGCAATTAGTGGGCTTTGCGTCGGGAACGAGTTCAATAGCGTGGTCCCAAGCCCTTCGGGCCTTCGCTCTGGTAATGTGTCGAAGGACTCCTTGTCAAAGACGTCTTGGAACTCCTTGGCCCAGTCCGGAAGTTGCAAAGGCAGGGGGGCCGAGTTACGGGCGAAGGCCTCTGCAAGGCGTTGGGACACGGTGCTCCCAGCGCGAATCTCCTTGATTGGGCGAAAGGAGGTGTAGAAGATGCGGTCGCCGTCTTCAAGATGCTCGTCGTCGTCGGGATCTGGTGAGCGCTCCGGAGGGTCCGAAGGAGCTCCGAGTTCGTCATCGGCATCGTCTGGGCCAGCAATATCGATAGCGCAAACGGTGGGGAAGGCGCCCGCAAGCAAGCGCGATTTAAGGAGTCGGAGGCGCCGAACCTCAGCGCGCTCGGTCCGTTCCTCGTCGCGGCAGGTGGAGCAGCTTCGGGGGCAGCGGCTCATTTTCACCTCCTTTGTTTCCCAGTTGATCTTGGGGTTATGCTTTTTGAGCCAGGAGTACCCGAGTATCAAGTCCTGTTTCCCAAGGTGGGTCACAGCCAGCTGAACGCGTTCGGAGTGTCCGTTGTACCGTAGGACCAGGTCCGCGATTTGGCGAATAGACCCAGCATCATTGGGGGTGCCGTCGACATTGTAGACCGCTATGAGTACTGAGAGATTTCGGACTGGCACGTTGTTTCGGTTGACATATTCTGTGTTGATAAAGTCCGAAGTAGCTCCGCAGTCGACCAGACCTGAGAGGGAGAGCTTGAGCGCGTTCGCAGTGGACTCAAGTTCGAGGGGAAGGTGGAGCGAGTTAACCCCAGGAGCGGCAGAGATGGTATAGCTGCCAGGTAGCTTTTTCTCCCAGGCAAGTCGGCGAATCCGAACGGGGGCAGAGGGTGCGTCTTTCGTTTCAGGCTCGTTGTAGGGCAAGGGAGTTGATTCATCATACAAACAAGTGAAACGATTTATGGACGCGAACGAGGGCACACCAGTCACTCATTGCGGGGGACAAAATCCTCTGCCGGAGCCTCCGAATGCGCCTCCGCTAAGGCCGCGGTATCGGACAACCGCGCAAGCAGCTCTCCCAGCATCTCGTCGCCAAGTTGCTGGATTACCTCGTCAAGGATGTCCACATGGCGAACATCGGCGGGGAGCGGACAATCCCGAGCCAAGTGGTTGGGGTCGCCACATCTGAAGCAGGCTCGACGAGGGGCGCCCTGAGCCCTAGTACGATCCAACTCCATAGGAACGGGAGCCGGAGGTACCGAGACGGGGGTGCGGGCCGCGGGTGGCGCAGGTGAGGTCACCGGGCGGATGGGGAACGGAGTTGCCGAACGGGCGATAGGGAATGCGCCACGCGGAGCCCCCGAAGCCGTCCGCGGGGTGGTCCCTTTGATGAGCTTCGCCCGCACCAAGGCTTCGTATTGGCGGAAAGCCCGAGTGCGCCAGCCCAGATAGTCACAGAGGTCTGGGGGGTCGTTCGAGGACGTGATGCCATTGTTGATCAGGGGGTCAAGTCCATGGTGATACTTGGTCACCTTAACCAACGCGTCTTCGAATCCGGCGAGGTCCATTAGGTCCTCGAAGTCGTCGGTGTATCCGTAGACATCCCGCGTTCCCATATGATAACCCGCGCTTTCCAACTTGGCGGGCGCAAGGTCTTGCTCGTTCTCCTCAACGAACCGAAGGCGAAACTCGGAGAGGAATAGGTTCCACCGAGGGGAGGGGAACGGGGTTTTGCTTCCATGACGCTCTGCCCACTGCTGGGCAGGTCCCTCCGCCAGATAGGACATGGCGTAGCGGACAGCCTTTTCTTCGCTCGGCTCTCTGTTGACCACGAAGGCCTCCGGGGCAAGCCAGGCGTAAGTCTTGACCGCGTATAAGAAGGCGGCCGCGTTTGCGATCTCCGTTAAACGCAAACGGGGGGTTTGGTCGTAAGACCAGTTTTGAGGCGACAGTAATGTCACCAAATAACGCATCCGCGTCGGGGGCATTCGGAGATGCCGAAGGCGGTTCGGGAGCTGCCGAAGGTGGTGCGGCAGCGGAAGCCTGGGAAGCAAGGTGGGTGAGGATATTGGTGAGGTTGTCTAGTTTCGCCTCAAGTGCGTCCATGCGCGCGTCAGCGTCCGGAGCAGCTCCGGTAGACATAGCGGGCATAAAGACGACAAGAGCAGAGGAGGAGGGGTCAAGTGGCAGGGGCGGTGACGAGGGGGGTACGGACTTGTACTCCGAGCCTGAATCAGCGCCAAACCTGGCAATCTTGACCGGTTAATCCCGTAGAGAGTTTCTTCTGCTGTAAGGGCAACCCTGGAGACTCCGACGAAAGCCTAGCAGGGGAGGATCCAAAGCGTGAATAAAAACTACGGAAATACACGGAGGGACCGACCTAGCAGGGGAGGATCCAAAGAGAAGCAACTCTAAGGGTCCGCCTGCTAGGGTGCCAACTATATACTGGTCGTCCGTAACTGCCGACGTAGAGCGCAGAAGGCCTGGGCGGCGTCGCAGGCTCTGTCCCAAGGTGATCGTTGGGAGGGTCTTGACGGATCGGTGATTGTGCGGGCGAAGGAGGCCATGGACGATGGTCGGGGTGGGTCGGAGCGTCCGAGGGGGCGCCGGTCGGATGTGCCTCGGATGCACTCGGACGGTCTGAAGGAGGCCGAAGCGGGGGTTCCCCTGACAGCTAGGTTCCATCTGGCTTTTTGGTTTGAACCGGAACTTAACTAAACCGAACGGAGGCTTGGTGTTTGTGTTTAGCCAAAATCCTTTTCAAACTGAACTAGGACTTGGATCCAGCCAGGCTCAGCCTTTTTGCCTGAAGAAGACCAGCTCAGGACCAGTTCAAACCAGAGTTCGGTGTTCAGGTTCCAAATCTGGGTTTTGAACCGAACCGGCAGTCCGGTGTTTGGCCATCACTACCTCTTGAAGGAATTAAGATTTGTGATATACTATACTATTTTAATCAGTTTGTCAGGGTCTTGCACACCATCAATGTGACATCCTGATGAGCTGAATCTCACTGTAGGAGTTTGGGAATAAACAATGGCCCTTTCAATCAATTATATGCCCAAAAATCAATGTACCAAAAAAAAAAAAAAATCTATACCTCTATTTGTGCCAAACGAAAATTATCCTACATTTGCCTATTTATATGAGAAATAGGTGCTATAAATGGACTTGGTTTTTGTCCCCCAGTTTTGAGACAAATCAAACTCCCTTTTTTGGACTTTTTCTCCATCAAATGGGACCAAAAAATATTTACTATATTCACTTATAATCATAAAATCAAAAGGGGGTGCTGTTTATTCCCAAACTCCTGCAGTGTCTCGCATCAGCCATGCAGCAGTGGCATGCCTGACAAAACTTTTCATCTGCACTGAGCTCATGGCTCCGCAGGGCCACTCCAGCCAGTGATGACATTGGCTCAGTCATTTCTTCGTTCCTATTTACACCCTGTGATGACAAAAAAAAATGATCAGATCAGCCCAGGTGTATATGGGGTTTTTTAAAAAAAGATTCCTTGTAATTAGAATATTAACATTTTTAAAAAACATCAGTGATTTACAAGTTGTCCCCTCATTTTAATAAAATCCACACTGTCAAACTCCGTATCTTTCTTGGCACCTTGCCATCAACATTTTTTTTCATCTTTTTTGGCCTTTCCCCTAGTCAGTATTTTCCCCATACTTAAGGAATTTTCCACACGTCAGGTCTGGGGCCTTATAGCTACCACACTGCCCACCCTGACATGGCCTTTCAACTTTTTAAACCTTTTTTTAATCTCTCATTTCCCTATATAAAACCTGCCTTTTGGCAGGGGCATAAATTAGAGGCATTTTTTAAAAACAATCACACTGGTAATAAGAAGGCTTTTTTAAAAAAAACCCCGTGTACAGGTGATCAGCCGGGGTATGATGTGTGACTGACAAAATGAATAAAAGACCACAGTAGATGAACAAATAAAAAAGTAAAATTTGCATATACTTTCTGACCTACATAACATTAATCTTCCCTTAGATTTTGTAGACTTGCCATAGATTTTTATATATAATACATCAGCCGATATTGATAGGAAATCATATGAATTGTGACCGTGACTGACATCAATCAATCACACTGTCACCGTCACTCGACTTGTGAAAACTAGCCACCATGCTGCAGGTCTTGTCATCTCCGAGTCCAACCGATACTGTCTGGAGCTAATAGCTATTTCAGAACGCAGTTGGACCAAACATAGATAGTACACCCCCGCAACTTGAAACTCTTCATCGATGCTTTCGGATTCCGGAAATTATCCTCCAAGTGTTCGCAGCAGTGTCGGTGCAGGACTCTCCAAACGCGACGTTGGCTGCGTTGGCTCGGACATGCCGCCTATTCGAACAACCGGCGCTTGAATATCTCTGGAGCGATCCCGGCACTCACACGCTTGACTACGTTCTCAATTGCCTCCCCCATGGCCTCTTTACTGGGAACCGATATCATGATGTATTGGTTCGGATTTATGGCTTAGCTGCCATATATGACGCTGATCAATCGAATTTAGTCCCTTTCTCGCGCCATTCGGTCGAGCGACTGGGAACGGCCGCGCCGCTACTGCAATCTTGTCCGCACTCTGTCTGTGTCGTATGGCAAAACACACAAACAGTTGGCTACGCTTGGGCAGTTCTACCCCGAGCTCTGCCTTTTCCCTCAACTTCGACAACTTGTAATCTGTGGCTATGACACCATGCATCTCCAGGAACCTCTTTTACGAACGCTCTTGTCGCCGACGCTCAAGCACATCGAACTGGATGAAGTCTATTTGCAGACAATTTCCCTCTTTCCAATCATCATCCATCGTGCTCCGCAACTCACTACACTCATCTTTGATGCATATCCGGGACTCAACGGGCCAATCGACCACGCCGAGGCACTATCTGAACTTCTCCAGAGCCTCCACCATCTTCAGGTCCTGACACTGGCTCACACGGATGATACTATGTTGTCTCATGTGTCTCGGCTCAGAAAGTTGAGAAAACTTACCATTAACAGATTGGACCTGCCAGTAGCTTCTCAGAGCACAACTCTACAGGCGCTCGACAGTTTGGGCACCTTCCCTTCTCTCGAGACACTTTCCGTCGCAAGGGTGAACCTCCGCGCACTTACAGCAGTTATCCAACTTATCCGAATCTCCCCTCTTCGCAAACTTGATATTTGCCCCCTTCCTGAGTCTCACCTCACCACAGCAGACACGACCGCATTCTGTCGAAGCGTCGGAGCCTACATCAACAGGCAAACCCTCCAACAATTCGACTACCAGCTTCGCTCGCATCATCGCTACCCCGTGTCTTTAGTTCACGTAGACATCTCAGCGGATGCATTCCGATCTTTGCAAGATTTTCCGGGCTTGACACATCTGTATATGCAGTGTGACGGAAAATACAGTGTTAACGACGGCCTTATGGACGACCTTGCGCGCTCCTGGCCAGCACTGGAAACCTTCACACTTTGTCCCTCAAAGACCAATTCGGCCCGGAAGACCATAAAGCTGACCCTGGTGTCCCTCGTGGCCTTCGCAACACACTGCTCCCGCCTCGTCGCCCTCAACATGTCCTTCGACGCCACAGCGTTGCCGTCAACTATGGCTGTCGATGGCTCCGGCGAGCCCGTCATTCAGACCTCGCTCGTACGCCTGTCCACCGGCTACTCTCCCATCCGTGACCCTGTCAAAGTTGCGCATTTCCTTTCTCGCCTCTTCCCCCGCCTCGACCTGATCAAGAGCTCGCATTGTGTCGACTCGGACTCGGATGACAGCGACAGTGTGAGCGAGTCAGCGCCACACCCGGGCCGCCCACACGGTTCCAAACTATATGCCGCTTGCTGGAAGGATGTTGCGGCAAAGCTTGCTGCCGCTACCGCCACTTGAATTTTGAAGACAAGAAGTGACTCCGATGAGACTTCATGTACACATAAAAACATCATACTAGTATTTCAGTAGACAACAACCACAACTTGAACTCAGAATGGCGAAAACTACAACTTAGAGGCCTGTACACTACACATATGCCTCATATACACATACATAATACAGAGCCTCAACCTGAAACTTACAGGATCAACACAGGAATACAGCGGGGGCCACCTGCTTCGCGATCGCCTCCTGCTCCGGCGTCAACGGCCGGGCGACAAACCCCCACGCCGGCCCGGTCCCGGCGGCATCGAGCGAAGACGAAACCAACCCAAGATCATAGACGCCGCTCGGCGAGCCCCACGCACGGAGCTCAACGCCGGCGAAGCCCGCATCGGTAGCTGCCCGGAACTCGCCGACGGCGGTGCTGATTGCGTCGCGCATCGCGCGACCGTGCATCAAGCGTGGGTTGCCGCAGCGCGCGCGGCGGGTGCCTTCGGAGGAGGAATACCCGATCTGCAGCATTTTTAACGCGGGCAGCCGCGGGATAAGATTCAGGGCCATGGCCACCGCGTTGTGCTCGGCCGCAGCGCCGACAAGGTCCGCTTTGTTGACGATAACGTTCAGATGTGTGAGGCGGGGGAGGTGTAGATCCCGAAATACGTCGATTGACTGCGGCCCAATGCTCCAGTTGCTCTCGTAGGAGGACCGGAATGCTAAACTAACGAGCGTCGGTGCGTGGCGTGGGAGGACAGACGCGAAAAATGTGGCGGCGAGAGCGTTTGCGGCCGCCGCGCTATTGGCGTGCACGTACAGGTCGACGTCGGTCATGCCCGAGTGGCTCGCAAGGTAGCGGAGGAGGCCTGGAGTGACGCTGTCGGTGTGCAATGTCGTCAGTGGGATGTCTGCAGGAAGACTGGTCCAGACGCAGTCGTGGTCCCAATGCATAAGGTGCAGAGATACGAGCCTCCGACTCTGGGAGACCACTTTGGCAACCTGCTTTTCGATTGGCGACTCTTCTGGATGGGAGGCATATGCGGTAACCGTGAGGGTCTTGAGATTCCGGATGGCCGCGATGTTGACAGCGAGCATCTCGGGCTTCATGATTTGCACGTCCAAGTTCTCGAGCACGGGGAAGCTCATGAGCGCCCCCTGAACAGCGGTGTGCATCCAGACAAAGTCGCGGTCGCGGATGCACCAGCTAGCCGGGAGTCTGTCAGCACACGTAAACCAGACACAGGCAGCATGACGCACTAAACGCTCCGTATCCCGCTCATTTTCTCGAGGACCTGCGGCAGCATCGCCTGTTGGGCCTTCACGACGTCTCCATCCTCTGGCGCCATGCCCTGCTTGGGGTCCCACCGCCGCAGCACCTGCAGCGTCTTCGCGTAACGCGGCCAGTTGGATCTTCCCGCCACAATGTCCGCCATGAGTTCCAGCGCCCCGCTTTTCGACAACAGATGTACATTGAGTGGGAACAGCCTAAGCACCAGCGGCTCCAACGCCGCGTTCAATGCGCGCGAGGTCAGGCGCGCAGTGCGCTGGCTAGAGGGGTCGAGCTGTGGGGTGTTAAGCATTTATACTCTTTCGTCCAGGCTCGGGGCTTACGTGGGAGCCGATTTCCGTCAGAATCTCCGCCGGGAATGCGAACATGGTGGTTGCGGAGAGAGTTGCCTAGATCTTCACACGCGGTCACCTCGATCATTCCCATCTTTTTTCCTTTGGTAAACTTGTACACTGGCTGCTTGCAATTGAAAACGTGCCAAGACTCTTGGAGAGGCGCCTTAAATTGACCCGGTGTACCACCACAAGTGCAAGGGCTATCATTTACTAAAAAGTTCGTCAGTCAGGCGGCAAATTTTGTCTGCCAGTGGATTCAGCCATAAAAGGCAATGTTCGGCTGATCCGCCTCCTCCGGCGTGGAAATTACCGCGGGGGCGATGGAATAGCTGCTGTCTGCGGCCTGCCCAGCAGAGTATACATTGATAATCATCAAGCAAGCTCGAGAAGGAGATGGCGTCGATCACGGTGATTTGACTCAACTCGATGTGAGTTCAACATGAGTTTCGGTGGGAACATGGATTATCATATCAAATTGTTTGATAGAAGGGCAACGCAGCGCCAGTTGCCACAGTCTGGTTGCCACAATCTTCTTGTGCTTATACGACCACCACCATCGGGTCTCTTTCTCTAAAATGGACCCTATCATACAAAACATAGGTACCTATATCACTGGTTAGTCCATTTGTTACAGTAGTGCAATAATTATACCTACTTAACTAGGTGGCCATGGAGGAATAGGTGGGGAGGGAACAGACAGAGGTGGTCATGGTGGGAGTGGAGGAGGGCCAGTAATCAAGGACAGTTTCAACACTTATTATCAGGGATCAGATCCAGGGTGAGCATTGACTAATGAACTACATAGTTGACTGAAGGTTTGAGAAAAGAAATCTAGAAGAGCCATATCATGGATGCTCCCGCCCCTCTTATAGCTTCACTGGACGCAAGGATATATTGACAAAACTGACAGAATTCTTTGGAGATACAAGTCTACAAGATCAAAAGATTGTATTACTGCATGGTCTAGGTGGTATAGGAAAGACACAGACTGCACTGAAGTTTATTGCAGATTCAGGTGCAAGGCAGGTAAAATAACTCCAAGCCAAAGATATATTGAATATTTTCATAGATTCACAGATCAGTTTAAGATTGATGCTAGCAACAAAGATACTATTGAAGCAGGATATAAAGAAATTGCCAGAATAAAAACTCAACATATTACAGACACAGCTGCACACACATGGCTAGTTGGGAACACTACTGAATGGCTAATTCTCTTTGATAATGCTGATGATGTAAAGCTCAATCTTTGGGAGCACCTTCCTCAATGTAACCATGGCAATATTCTAATCACATCCCGGAACCCAGAGTTGGGTGTGCATACAAACAAGAAGTCAATCAATGTGTCTGACTTGGTACTGGATGAAGCAATTGATGTCATCTGTGCTACTGACCCATTTCGATCAATTCAGCGGGCCTGTGACCCGTGACCGTCTGGCCGAAATGTCCAATTCGGCCGCAGGCCGGATTTTGCGTGACCTATTACCTGATTAGGAAGTTCGGTGCGCCACAGGCGCCGAAAATTTGAAGATTTTCCCGATTGGGACAGTTTGGGACCAAAAGATTTGGCTGTGACCCGTGACCCGCCAAAATATTTCGGCCAAAAAATCCCATGTGACCGTGACCGGCCTAATTGAAGGAAATGGGTCAGTATTGCACAGATTAGCAACAGAGAAGCAGCAGAGCAACTAGCGAAGGTGATAACTATGTTATATAATATATGATTTCATATAATGCTAGTAGGAGCTGCACTGTTTCCCATTGGCATTAGCACAAGCTGCCGCTTTTATATCACAGTCTCAGAAGTTGCAGGAAAAAATCCCTTAAAGTATCTCAAAATTTATAATGAGAACAAACAGAAATACTGGCATGAAAGACCCAACCAACAGCCTTGGAGCTACAGGGATACAGTCTATACTACTTGGAAAGTCAGCTTTGATAATCTTCCCTTTGTTGCTCAAGAGATTATGAAAGTATGCTCCCTGCTACATAACTGTCAAATCACAGAAGCTATCTTTGTAAATGCCTCCAGATATCAGGGAATGTAACAGAGTGGGAGGACTTGGAGGTACCAGGACAGATGCCAAAATCATTATCCTATGCATTCAAGTTATTGTCCCACTTTCTAGATGAGCAGAATAGGTGGAATGAGCTGGTCTTTGAAAGAACAATGAGACAAATTGAAGCCTACTCATTGATTACTTTAAGGAAAGATGGTTACTATAAACATCCATTGGTGCATGAGTGGACAAGGATGATATTGCCATCATGGCCAGAATATTCAGAATTGGTCATATACTTATTAGGAATGTCAGCTGCAGGAACAGAAACTCTAGAGGAAAAGGTGATTCTGGTTGAGCATCTAAAAAAAGCTATCTCAATGCCAGAAATGATACCAAAACCAATGCAAATCTTTTGCCAAGACATATATTTAGAGGGTCATTCTTTTGCTCATGCAGAAGTCCTAGGAAAAAAACTTGTACAGAGATTGAAAAGAGAGATAGGCTTGAATCATACAATGACAATATTAGCTCAGGAGACCCTGGCTTGGACTTATTATAGTATGGGCAAATATACACAAGCAAAAGAATATTATGAACAGGTTCTGCAGCAGCGCATTCATCAGCTAGGGTCCAATCATCTAGATACTATTCGTGCCAGGGCCAATTTAGCAGCAATATATTATGAGCTAGGCCAATATATACATGCACAAGAGTTTGAAGAACAGGTTTTGCAGCAGCGGACTCAGATACTGGGCCCTGAGCATCCAGATAGCATTCGGGCAAGGGCCAACCTGGCAGCAACATATCGTGACCTGGGCAAATATACTGAAGCACAGGAGCTTGAAGAATGGGTTCTGCAGCAGCAGACACATCTTCTGGGGTCTGAACACCCAGATACCATTCAGGCCAGGGCCAATCTAGCTGGAACATACCTCCAGCTGGGCAGATATTCACAAGCGCAAGAGTTTGATGAACAAGTTTTGCAGCAGCGTATTTGTCAGCTAGGTTCTAAACATCTAGCTACCAATCGGGCCAGGGCTAACCTGGCAGCAACATATTGTCAGCGTCGGGCTCGGGCTGTATCGGGGCGTCGGGGGGGTCCGACTTCGAGAGGGTCTGGGGAGCACGAAAGGTGGGTATTTGCCCGGAGAATAGACGATATTAGCCTAGCGACTACATCTTGTAAGTACGGTTTTATACGCCTAGGATATTAGGGATAGATCGGATGGGCGCCAGGTCCCAGGGCGGATCGGATGGGCGCTGCGTAGGGCCTCAGGGATGAAGGGAAAGGGCTGGAAGAATGTGGAAGCGTCGAGGAGTATGGCTATATGCGGGCCTGTGCGCCCTTGTGGCCCGGCGGCCCGACCCGAACCGTGACATCACCCCCCCCATTGT